ATTTTACAGTCCCACCAGCAATGTATGAGAGTCCCACTCTTTCCACATCGTTGCCAGCATTTGTTATTTTCTGTCTTGTTGAACTTTGCTACTTGTGCTGGAGCAAGATGGTATCTCATTGTTGTTTTGATTTGCATCTCTCTAATAACTAATGATCATGAGCATTTCTTCATATGTTTGTTGGTCACCTGAATATCCTCCTTGGTGAAGTGTCTATTCATATCTTCTGCCATTTTTTAATTGGTTTATTTTTCTTTTTGTTATTGAGATATTGGAGTTTTCTGTAAATTCTAGAGATAAGTCCCTTTTCAGATATGCCATTGCTAAATATTTTTTTCCCAATCCGTAGGTTCTCTTTTGACTCTTTTGGAGAAGTGTTTGGAAGCACATAAAAATTTGATTTTTAGAAGGTCCCATTCATCTAGTTTCTCTTCTGCTGTTTGTGCGTTTTGGGTTTTGCTTGATAGTCTATTTATCATTTGAATTCTTGACTGCTGCTTCCACGGATGTTGATTGTGGATCCAAGTGAAATGTAATCCTTGACAACTTCTAGCTTTTCTCCATTTATCATGATTTTGCTTTTTGGTCCAGTTGTGAGGATTTTTGTTTTCTTTATGTTGAAGTGTAATCCACACGAAAGGCTTTAGTCTTTGATTTTGATTAAGTGCTTCAAGTCTTTTTCCCTTTCAGAAAGCAAGATTGTATCATATGTATATCACAGGTTGTTAGTGAATCTTCCTCTAATCCTGATGCTTCGTTCTTCTTTGTAGTCCAGTTTTTGGGTTGTTTGCTTAGCATACACAGTGAATAAGTATGGTAAAAGGATGTAATCCTGATTCACACTTTTCCTGACTTTAATGAATAACCTTGTATGTTTGTCATTTTATACTTATACAGAGGAATATACTTGTATTTCTGGAATAGGATCCCTGCTAGAGGTAGGTACTTGTGTACCTGATAAATGCATGTGTAATTTTACTGGATATTGTCTGATTCATCTACCAAAGTTGTACGTTTTTGACTTCTAACTATTGATGGCCAGACTTGATTTCTTGTACTTTGGTCATGTTATCAGGAAGTACCATTCCCTGGAGGGGATGTCATGCTGCATAAAATAGAAGATCAGCATAAAAGGGGAAGACCCTTAATGAGATGGATTGACACAGTGGCTGCAATGATACATTCAAGCATAGCAATGATTGTGAAGATGGAGTAGGACCAGGCGTTGTTTTGTTCTGTTTTACATACGTTTGCTATGAGTTGGAACTGACTCGGCGATACCTAACAGCAACAATAACAACAACTATCGATGAATGAGAATTTCTATTTCCTGTAGTCTTGCCAACAGCCTATTTGTCAAACTTTTAGGATTGCCAGTGTTATGGATGAGAAATGGTCTGTCAGTATTGTGAGCCTGAGCATCTTTCCAGATGTTTATGGCACATTTACATTTCTTACTCTGTTAACTGTATGTTCATCTCCTTTGCTTGCTTTTCTTTTAGGTTTTGATATTTTTTCTTCATGATTTTAAGAAATCTTTATATGTTGGGTTAGCCTGTGACAGGAGTTTCAAATTATTCTCCCTAGTTGTCTTTTCACTTTACTTATGATTTTTTTCTTTTTTTTAAAGTTAACTCATTTTAGGTCTGCCATACCAGACCTTTTGTAGTTTTATATAGTGAGTTATAAGTTATAGTTATAAAGGCCTTTACAACTCCAAGTTCATAAGACTATATAGCATTTTCACCTCTGGAGGAAGACTAGCTAATGCCCTCCTGTTTCTCTTACACTCAACAATGTTGAAAGCAACAGATACCAAGAGTAAATGTAATTCAGGTTTTCCTAAAATGGTGTTCTCTCCTTCAGGCTCCATGACCTATGAATACACTGTGGTGTACTTGGGTCTTTTCTAAGGCAGAGATCCATTTTTTATATATCTTTGTATCTTTCAAACCAAATACAATGCCTAGCATATATAGAAACAAAACAAAACAAAACAAACAAACTTGTTGCCATTGAGGCAGATCCGACTTGACTGGTAGAATGTGTTTAATGAATTTTTGTTAAGTAGAATTGGACTCAAAGCCTGGTGAATTCCAGTTTTGTCCAGGGCTTCATACTGATTCATTCTAGTTTGACCTGCTGTTGATAATCTGCATTTCCACATCAGGTATACTGAATCAGAATCTACATTTTAACAAGATCCCCTGGGGATCACCTGGGCGTCTATAAGAATCACCTAGGGATCTTGTTAAAATGTAGGTTCAGATTCAGTATATCTGGCATAGAAATGCAAATTCTCAGCAGGGGGTCAACTGGATGAACAGGTTCAAAGCCCTGGTTTAGTCACTTTCCCCTGTTAGCTGTGGATCTTTAGCAGTTTATTTAACTTCACAGAGCTCATTTTCTTCATCTGTATTGTTGTTGTTGTTATGTGCCCTCAAGTTGGACCTGACTCATAGCGACCCTTCCTTGGGTTTCCGAGGTGGTGTTACTATGGAAGTAGATTACCCAACCTTCCTTCTGCAGAGTGACTGGTGGGTTTGAACTGGCAGCCTTCTGGTTAGCAGTGAAATGCCAAGATATTAAGACCTACTCATGGTGTCGAAGTGAAGATTAAGTGAAATGGTGTATTTGAAAACACTTTATTAACACCGGTTTGTTACACTAATATATATTGTTATCACTCTATATTGTACTATTAGGAACTATATTAGCTATAGTATGCCACTTATAGTACAGGCAGATCTTGATTGAAAGCTTTGAGGAAAAATCTCTATTTTTCCAATTTTTGAATAAATACATATATTTTGATATTGTATCTTTTCCATATACAGCTAATAAGAGACATGGTGAATGTCTGTGAAAGTAATTTTTTCAAACCTAATCCGCCATCTCTTGCCAAATACCGAGCTTTGAGATGCAAAATAGAATATGTTGAACAGAACACTGAAGAATTTTTCAATGTTAAAAAAGAGATAGTGCAGAATAATCACAGGTAAGCTTAAAGGAAATATTTTATGATCTATCATTATGTAATGCTATTTCACATTCTGCTAAAGATCTGGTTCACCATAGTTACCTAGATCATTTAATTATTAGTAACTGGGTGACTATGTTGTGATGACAGATTACTTTCTTTTGTGTTCGTAATAGGGCCTGGGCAATATTGTGTGCTTGAAAATACTCTATGTTATTCCACTCTCTCATGGTAATCCTTTCCCACTCAGAATTAAATTTAAAGTTTTAAAATGAAAGGATGTTTGAACTTGTTCTTTGAATGGTATTATATAAGAAAATCCACTTAAATTAAGATTTAAAACTGCAGGAATATATGTTTGTGAGCTTTAATGAGGGCCAATCTATAGCATAAAAATATGAAGTTGGAAAATATGTAATGAATTATGGCATCACTAACTGTCACTTCCATGTGTCTCCTCATTTATTATACATATCCATATTCTTGTGCATTCTGTAACTCTGGGCAGCAAAAATAACAACAAGCAAAAATAACAAGTGATTTGGCTGCTCAGACAAACCCTTTTTTAGAGTTAGCACCTCTGTAGAATCAGAGCTGACACCCAGATTTATGGCTCAGAAACTAATTTTATTGATTATCCTAGGTGGAAATGCCTTTCATTGATTTGATCATTCAGTCCACTTCAGCAGTGCTGTCTTCTGAAGTCTTTTGCCCAGGCATTTCTGACATCTCAGTTCACTTTATACTGAACTGGGTTTAACCTTCATCAGCTTTGTATACCCCTTGAAACCAACAGTAGTATACTGGAGCTGCCTCATACCAGCCAGAGAGAATCAATTTGTCAAATTTTTAGGAATTTTGCAAACTGGTTTCAAGATACCAATGGTAGCTTGAAATATACCACAGAAATCAGCAAATGCTACAAGATGAAATTGTATGTGGATGTTGTTGCTTTGAAAGGTGGTTTTCCAACACCTCACTCAACCCACAATGACCCATTCCTCCTTTATGGACTAATTTAGAACTATCTAAAATTTTTTCAGTCTTTCTTGGTCAGTCATTCTGAAAACATAGTCCCCTAGACCTTTTCCAGATTTGCTTTGATATATTATCAAATTCTTTTGACTTGGCTTTTAACCTTCCTTCCACTGGATTTCCTGGGATCTAAACAAATTAATACAGTGAAGGTATAATCAGGAATGAGAGAACTGTTCTCCAGCGAGTCAAAGGGAAGGAAAGAACTATGTCTTCAAGCCCTGAGGATGGCAGTTATAGTTCAGCAACTATTTCATCTAACTCCAGCAAGACCTTGGTGTTTTTGTTAATTCTTGCAGTAGAAGTCCAGTGGACATCTTGCAGATATATAGAGTTGGCAGAGTGAATGAAACCACAGAATTTTTGAGCAAACTTGGCAACGTGAAGTCCTTGTTGCATGGCTCTCCTGTACGAAACATTGTAGGAATTCTATCCCGGTAAGAGTATGTCATCTTTGTTTTCCAGTATTTTAACTTCACAAATATGAGGTGTTTTACTCTTTGTAATTTTTTCAATCTACTACATGAGTCTTTTCATTTAAAATGTGCCATCTTACTGTAGTCTGAAGAAAATTATGTTGTTGTTGTTAGGTGCCATGGAGTCAGACCTGACTCATAGTGACCCCTCCTTGGATTTCTGAGGCAGTATCACTATGGAAGTAGATTGCCCAACCTTACTTCTGAGGAGTGGCTTGTGGGTTTGAACTGCCAGCCTTCTGGTTAGCAGTCAAGTGCCTTAGGCACTATGCTATCACAGCTCCCAAAGAAGAAAATTATACACTTTATAATTAAGTATATAATTTAAATTATGGATTTATTGTAATATATTTTTAACATGTAATGCATGAATATGAGTTGCTTATTGAAGGTAGTATAAAAGGAAGAAAGGTGATCTATATTTCATGACCCTTCCATGTGTATCTAATGTAGGGATAGCCTGATACTTAAAAAGAAAGTCTAGAAATTAGAGTACTCCCATTGTGTGAGTTGTCTATTTAATGTTGTTGTTGTTGTTATATACCCTCGAGTTGGACCTGACTCATAGCGAACCCTCCTTGGGTTTCCAAGGTGGTATCATTACAGAAGTAGATTGCCCAACCTTCCTTCCGAGGAGTGGCTGGTGGGTTTGAACCGCCAACCTTCTGGTTAGCAGTCAAGTGCCTGAGGCACTATGCTATCAGGGCTCCCATTGTCTATTTAATACTTAACTCTAAAATTCTAATTGCTTTGAATAACTACTTAATGTTAGGGTTGTAACTGAAGTCACAGAAAACTAGGGAATAAAATGGTTAAATTTAGATCCTTAGTTAAATACTAAAGTTTCCTTACAGGATTCATCTGAAGAAAACTTTGAATGGCTATTGAGGGACTCAAAAGACACTTACCTGAATCAGAATGATGTTAGTTCTCCTTAAATTAATGTATAAATTTAATGGTATTATGTTAATACTGCCAGTAAGATTTTTTAAAAGGCATAAAATGCTGATTCTGCAATGTATAAAATATTTGAACTTACCATGATGATTATGAAAAAGAAGAAGTATAAGAAATATTTACCAGCCAGACATTAAAACATATTATAAAACTATATTAATTAAAATAGGTGGCACATAAATAGATACATCAACAGAGTAAATAGTCCAGAAATAAAAGCATACAAGTTTTAGTATAAGATGAAAATAGCTTCATCTCTGTAGAAGAAGGATAATTTCTTTAATTCTGTGTAGTGGGATCAATCGGTAGCCCCTGAGAAAAATACCAGGTTTGACCCTTATCTGAGTCCTTACTGGAGCTCCTGGTTTAAGTATTCAGCTGCTACCCAGAAGGTTGGTGATTTGAACCTATCAGCTACTCCATGAGAAAAAGATGAGATAATCTGGTTCTGTAAAGATTCATAGCCTTGGAAGCCTTATGGGGCAGTTTGGCTCTGTCCTGAGTTGTCACTATGAGTAGGAATCAACTTGATGGCAGTGGATTTTGGATTTTGGTTTTGAATTCTCATTCTTAAATGAATTCTAGATATAAGAAAGATTTAAATATTAAAAATGAAACCAGAAAAATACTAAATGAAAAATAGAATAAGTTTTAATATAATCTTTGAGTAGGAAAGGCCTTTATAAGTAGGACCAAAACCCCAAAGTCATGGAGAAAAGAGCAACTACATAAAAACAAAATTTCTACATGTCATAAAACACTGTCTTTCATTATATTATTATACTGTTCTGTCTACTTTTATGTATGTTTGAAAATTATCACAATAAAAGTTTAAAATATCATAAGCAAGGCCAAAATACAGATGATAAACTGGAAAAAACATTTACAATATATATCTTCAACTAGAGGCTGATATTTCTAATATATGATCTGTGCCTACAGATCCAGATTTCCATTATTGTGCTAGAGGATGAGCCCCCTAGGTAGGAAGGTACTGAAAATTCACAGTAGCCTCAGCAATGGACTTGAGCATATCAACAATTGTGAAGATGTGTAGGGCCAGGCAGTGTGGTGTTCTGTTGTACATGGAGTTGCTATGTATCCAAGCCAGCTCAGTGTCAGTCAATGCTACCACCTTCAAATAAGTAAGATAAAAAAAAAATAACAAAAAACTGTGATACCTTAGATACATAGGCAATGACATTTTAGAAAAAGAAGTACAGATGACTTTTAAACACTTAAAAGTATCACTGAAAATAATTTAAATATAGTATGTAAATTACAGCGTGATACAGTTTTTACCTAATAGAGTTGTAAAAATGGAAAAGTTTGACAACACCATGTTGGGAAGGAGAAGGAGGCATTTTCACACATACTACTGGCAGTCAAATTGGTACAGATCTATGAGGGCAATTTGACAGGAGCTATTAAAATTCACCACCACTCAAGAGCAAGTTTCAGATTCTTATCTGACATCCATTTTGGTCTTCTCTTCTTTTCCTGTTTTTTTTTTTTTTTTTGTTTGTTTGTTTGTTTGAAATGACCTTCTTCTTTCTTAATGTATGATATCATCCCACTGCTTTTCTGATGTTTGGTCACTGGTGTTCACTGCATTAAATCTGCTTTTGAGATAGTCTGTAAATTCAGGTGGGATATACCCAAGGTCATATTTTGGCTATTGTAGCACTCACTGCCGTCGAGTGAGATCTGATTCATTAGTGACCCCTCATTGGGTTTCTGAGGTAGTATCACTACGGATGTAGACTGGCTTTAAGTTTCTTTTGCTTCAGCTTAAACTTGCATATTAGCAAGTGAGGAACAGTGCCACAATTGGCCCATGGTCTTATTCTCACTGATGATATTGTGCTTTTCCATCACCTCTTTCCACATATGTAGTTGATTAGATTCCTGTGTATTCCATCTGCTGAAGTCCATGTTCATAGTCACTGTTAATATTATTTTAAAAAAGTATTTGCATTCAATAAGTTATTGGCTGTGCAAAATTCTGTTGTGCGATATCCGACATCATTTCTGTCATGAAGGCTATATTTTCCAACTTCTGATGCTTTTTGTTTCCACCTTTCGCATTCCAAGCACCAGTAATTATCAGTGCATCTTGATTGCATAATTGGTCAGTTTTTACAAGACAGTGGTAAAAATCTTCAGTTTCTTCATCTTTGGATTTAGTGGTTGGTGGGCAAATTTGAATAATAGTTGTATTAACTAGTCTTCCTTTGTAGGCATATAGATATTATCTTATCACTGACAGCATTGCACTTCAGGATAGATCTTGATACATTCTTTGTGATGATGAATGTAACACCATCCCTCTTCAATTTGTTGTTCCTGGCATAGTAGATCACATGATTATCTGATTCACAATGGCTAATACCAGTCTATTTCCCCAGCACATCTATTTTCCAACCATTCTGACTACTTAAACGTGCCTCTTTACCAGACACTGGACTCTACCCCTCTGTAACTCCCATCTTACAGTTCTTATTTATTCCTCTGTGATCATACACCAAAAATGTTCTCTCTCTTCCTAATGTCTTCCTTTTCAGAATTTAATTCAGTGATCTTTTTCTCTTCTAAATCTTTTCTGCTCCAGGCTAGGCAACTAGTGCCTAATATATTGCTCTTTATCTATTTCATTTTATTTCTGACAACTTCCAATTTTCCTAGCTTCATATTTTGTATATTCCATGTTCTGATTATTAATGAATGTTTGCAGCTTTTTCTCCAATTTTGAGAAATGCCCCAGCAGCATATGAAGTTCCTGAAAGCTTATCTCCATCCACATCATTAAGGTTGACTCTACTTTGAGGAAGTAGTTCTTCCCCAGTCACATTTTGAGTGCTTTCCAATCCGAGAGGCTCATCTTCTGGCACTATATCAGACAGTGTTTTACTGCTGTTCATAACTTTTTCAGAAGTGGATGTCCCTGACCTTCTTCCCAGTCTGTCTTAGTCTGGAAGCTCCACTTAAACCTGTGTACCATGGGTGACCTTACTGGTGTTTGAAATACCTGTGGCATAGCCTCCAGCCTCACAACAACATGCAAGCCACCACAATACGACAAACTGACAGACTCTCTATTAGCTTGCTACTTTTTAAGGAAGTTGGGTTTCATCTTTAATGTACCATCTAATAGTGTCTGGTTGATAGAGTTTAGCCAAGAAATAATCTTTGATCAGCAGTGGAGATCTGAAAGAAAGGAAAAAAAAGTTTTAAATCTGGTAATGAGGACACAAAGAAAATAAACTGTAATATGATATGATGCATTCTGCCTTGTAAAATAGTGAACGTGAGTTTTTTTTAACTTTCTAAATGTATAACTTCAATGTTAGTTCTTCCCATGACAGGGAACACCTGCACCAGGCAGCACATCTATTTTCCAACCATTCTGACTACTTAAAAGTGCCTCTTTACCAGACACTGGACTCTACCCCTCTGTAACTCCCATCTTATAGTTCTTATTTATTCCTCTTTGATCATACACCAAAAATCTTATCTCTCTTCCTAATGTCTTCCTTTTCAGAAATTAATTCAGTGATCTTTTTCTCTCCTAAATCTTTTCTGCTCCAGGCTAGGCAACTTCAGTTCTTTCAACTTCTCTTCTTTCTGCTGGACAGTCTCAGTTTTATCTAGAGAATTGCACTTGCCCTAGACCCTGAGAGGAGCTCTGATGGTGCAGTGGTTAAAGCACTTGTCTATTAACCAAAGAGTTAGTGGTTTGAATCCATCAGCCATTCTGTAGTAGAAAGATGAGGTAGTCTGCTTCTGTAAAGATTTACAGCCTTGGAAACCCTATGGGAGCAGTACTGTAGCATCGCTTTCACTTGGAATGGTCTTGATGGCAGTGAGTTTTGGGTTTTTAAACCATGGCCTTCTCTAATTGGCAGGAAACACAGCTTGACTTACTTCCCTTCTCCTCAGGCAGCCAGCCTTCCCTGGGCAGCCTCATTGCCTGTTAACTCTCAGTGCACTGAGATTGTAGTCTGATAAAATTATGTAAAATTTATGTAAAAGTTTCACATATAGCTTTCTTTTCCACCCTGTCTCACGTAGCTGTTGTTTTCATCTAAGCTGTAGGATGATACGGGGTAACTGTAAATTGAATTGACTAGATAGCGGTGGGTTTGGGTTTGTGAAATATACTCTTGTTATTTCTGGCCCATGGTACAATCTATTTACCAACCTGTTCATATAATGGCCTTCTCATGTGTTTACACATCTCTTTCATGGTAAAGTTACTAGAATTTTGATCTACATTCATTCTCTGTCCTCACTAAAGTCATTGATTAAAATGTTGAACAGAACAGAGCCAGGGAAGAGCCTCTCACTTTCAAAATTGAGGTCATTCTCAGTGACTCAGGAATGTTGCCTTTTCATCTTAACTGCTGCTTGTAGTTCCCGGGGAGGACAGCTGCTCTAGAGGCCATCAGTAGGAATCCAACATGTGGTCTCTGCCCTCTAGAAATTATAACCTTGCTGAAAAAGTAAAGATGCAGACATGAAACAAGTAGAAAAAAGTCAGAATCACATAGAAAAAAGGTAAAGACAAACACCCAAGGATTTTCTAAAGTTTCTTTCATATATGATATATTTTGCTTTGAAGCTAGTCAGTTGCCAGCATATGGGACATATACCAAATACAAATTTCCATTATAAGTGTACTTCTGTAAATAGAGATTGAATTTCCTGTAATACAAATATATTAAATTTGGAAACAGAGTGACTGATTTATTTAATTGCATTTATTGCGAATGTAGTCGGTGAGTGTAGCACCAGGGATATGATGTCTGTATTAAGTGAAGGTTGGACATTTTAGAGGTGATGAGGCTCAAGATGGGTCTTGAAGAAGTGATGTCCACTGTATTAACAGCCAGATCTAACAGGAACAAAGGTATGGAGATGGAGTTAGGCGAAAGCTTTGATGTTGTGAAGGAGCTTTGTCAGGAAAGAAGGGGGATGTGGGTGGCAAATTAGGAAACAATCACAGAAAACTTTTTCAATAAAAATTGGTTTGATTTTTTTTCTTTACATTTTACAAAATTAATTCAAATACATAATGCAAAAAAAAATTCCAGCAGTAGATTTTTATATAGGAAAAAACAGAAGTCTACTTTCCCTATCTTCCCAGAGATAGCTATGGCCTACTACAGTTTTATTGCAGAGAATTCTCTGAATGCTAGAATCCCAACAGGTTTCTACATAAGTTCTTGAGTGAGAGAGAAATGCAGTTAGTGTTGGGCGTAACACATTGTCCTGCTGAGCTTAGGGGTGAGGAGGGAGGTTTTGGGTTGACATAGGCAGAGCCCAGATGCTAGGAAAATGATTGGCAGCCCACAGCAGGTCAAGATGGTGATGAGAGGCCAGCCATAGCTTGCTACATTTTGATAATAACTGAAACTCCTGCTATGTACATTTTTCTTTTCATTTCATACATTTTAAATAGCACCTGTTTCTAAAAGATTTTTTCTAGTAAATCATCATGTTATCCTTTTCCTTTCAGAGGTCTGCTTTTACCCAAAGTGGTTGAAGATCATGGCATAAAGAGAACAGATGTTGGCAATCTTGGGAGTGGGATATATTTCAGTGATTCACTCAGGTTAGTATATCTGTAATCATGTCACACCCATCACCAAGTCATTATGATTGAGCACTTGCTATGTGCTTTTCACTTTCTCACTGTTTGTAAAAGACCTTCCTTCCTAAGAAACAGATCATTGAAAAAAACCAGTTTTCTAAGTATATTGTAGAAAACCTCTTATGTTGTGAATATTTGGAAAAATTACTTTTGAAATCATCTTCCTGTTCTTACTAGTCTGAGAATGTTTACATATGTTTACTCACTTAACCCTTACGGTAGTGCTCTGAGATAGATAGTATTATTATCTCCATATCATAAATGAAGAAACTGAGGAACAAAGAGGGTTTCTTACCTACAGAGTTTAACCTATGATGCAGGCACGGCTCAGTCTTTCCATAGAGCCAGCAGTCTTCGCCTCTACACCATGTAACTTCTCTGCTAAAAAGTTTATCTATTCTGTGTTAACTACATGTCTGGAATGATATTTCCTCTTTAGTATCTTTGTTAATGGTAAAATATGCCCTCTTAATAGTCACAGTGAACTAAATTGTCACCCCTGTGCTGGTACTGGGCTACGTGCTCTTAGTACACACTACCTGGAAAATACACAGCATTGTGACATTGTTTTATGAATAGTAGTAGACTGCGGGTTAGGTTTAAATAACTTAACTACTGTAGAAGTAGTTAAATAATGGAGCCTGGGTTCAGGTCTGGCATAAAGGATAATTATATGAATATTTAGAGAATTCCTACAAAACACTAAGGAAAGAACAACCCAATAAGCAAATGCACAAAGGACATAAACAAGAATCTAATAGAAGAAGATTCTTATGTTTGAATAATAACATTTGAAAAAATTGGTAATCAAGAAAATACAAATTAACCGTACTGAGATGACAATTTGTACCTATCAGATAAAATAACAACTTTAACAACTCTAGGTGTTGGTGAGACTGTATAACAATCTGCATGCACACACTGCTGGGCTGAGTATAAATTAGAAGAGCCACTTGAACAGGTTTTGGCATTATATGGTATAATTGAAGATTTATATGGTATAATTGAAGATACTTTTGACCTATATGACTTAGGAGTTCTACTTCTGGGTAAATACCTAAAGCAGTGGTTCTCTCTCTTTGTATATATGATTTAATCTACACATTAGAATCACCTAGAGGAACTTTCAAAAGATAATTGGTACCTGGCTTTCATCCCCGATGAATTAAAGCAGAATCTTGTGGGATGAGACACAGTTATCAATCATTTTATAAGCTCCCTAGGTGATTTCAATGTGTAGCCAGGATTGAGAATCACTATCCTGGAAGTACTCTAGTACACATATACCAGGAAACATATACAGGAATGTTTAACAACAATGTAACAACAAAAAATTTTAAGTAATTCAAATACCATTTGACAGTAGAATGTAGAAATGAATTTTGCTATAGTCCTACATGGACTATTATGCTGCATTTTGAACAAGCGGGGAGCAGCTACAAATGTCAGTATAAATGAACTTTTGGAACATAATACAGAGCAGTAAAAGCAAGTCATGAATTACATGAGTATTGTTCTGGTTACCTAGTGCTGCTCTGACAAGAATATGCCCCAAATGGGATTGCCTTTACAAACAAGAGTTTCTCATAAGTTTGGAGGCTTTAAATCCAATTTCAAAGTGCCAGGCTCTAGTGACTGGGTGAAAGCCCCTCAACCTTGGGGTCTAGCTCTGCCTCCAGCTACCAGCCCACTGAAGCTAGAGGATTTTCTTCACTCAGATAGCTGCTGGCTGCTCAGGCTGCCAAGCCCAAGGTTGACAAGTAAAAAGGCACAGTCCCGATGTTACCAAACCACACAGCAGGCCATTAACTTAAGTCCATTGTAAGTCCCACAGTTGGCAGAGCATGGCAGGCTGCTGAACAGTGACACAGCTACATGGAGGGCCTAAGTGTGCCATAAGCTAGAGACCATTCCTCAAGGCTTCTGGTTATATACAGGAAGCAGACCACATTCCCTAAGGCAGCTACTCAGCTGCTCACAGTAGATCTCACCATGGAGTTGATTGCCGGTCTCCTCATGGGGAATACTACATCCAGCTGCCCAGCCATTCAACCAGGCCCAGCCAAGTTGACACACAAACTGAACTACCACAAGTATGTTGTTGTTAGCTGCTGTCCAATTAGTATCGACTCATATCAACCCTGTGTACAGCAGAAGAAAATGCTGCCCAGTCCTGCGCCAGCCTCACAATCCTTGCAATGCTTGAGTCCATTGTTGCAGCCATTGTGTCAGCCCATCTAGTTGAGGATCTTCCTCTTTTTCCCTGACCCTCTACATTCCAAGCATAATATTCTTTACCAGAGACCAGTCCCTCTTGACAACATGACAATAAGAGACAAAGACTCACAATCCTTGCTTCTAAGGAGCATTCCGACTATACTTCATATAGGACAGATTTGTTTGTTCTTCAGACAGTCCATGCTATATTTAATATTCTTTGATAACTCCATGATTTAAATGTATCAATTTTTCATCTGACTTCCTTACTCATTGTCCAGTTTTCATATGCATGTGAAGTGACTGAAAAAATACCATGGCTAGGGTCAGGTGCACCTTAGTCTTTCAAGTGACATCTTTACTCTTTAACACTTTAAAGAGATTTTTTTTTAATTGCGATTTGGGTGAAGATTTACAGAGCAAATTCACTTTCCATACAGCAGTTCACATGTACTTTGTCTCATGTCATTGACCACAGTTTACCACAATGCAACAGCTCCCCTCCCACTTCCTCCCCATAGTTACCTCTT